ATATAAAGCTGAAAATGGAAAAGGTGATGTGGTACCTTTCAATACCCAGCAATTGTATTTATCTTTTTTCTCCATTTTTTGACAATTTTGCATTTTTCCCCCTATTTTTACGTTTCTCTTATTTTGTATAAGAAACCTAACTGTTGTTTGTTTATTTCTTTCTCCCAACAGTTGCTTAATAATGACAGGCCCCTTCTCTTCTAACTCCCTAATCACAGTTGCCTCTGTTGACTGGAAAAAAAATGCCTCCCTCTTTTCTCTTACTTTTCCATCTCTTTCACTCTCATCCTTTCCGACAGGTAAAATCTCCTTTCATGTGATTATGTAGTTTAATTTTTGTTGTGGCTTTCGAGTATTTTAATAACTTTATTTGTCATTCCTTTTTCCTTTGTCAAGAGATCTAAAAGGGATTCCTTTGAGTCATTTTTCTCACATTCTATGACTCTGAAAAATTCTTTGATAAATTCATGATAATTTAGCGAATTAGGAGATCGATGCAGGTTTGATATTATTTTCCTTTTCATCGTTCATTCGATAGGTATTCTTGTATCCATTTTTTTTTTCTCTATATTTGTATCAAAATTTCCAACTTTGAACTTTTTTGACTGGTCAAAATAAATCATCTCTTCTTTATGGTTTTGAATCCGCCGTAAAATAACAGCGTAGGCAGTTGATGGACTAACCATTGACCGAATCCAGAAGATGTTTTCGAGAGGGCTATTTGCTGTTTCTCAACACCTGCAATAAATTTCTTTTAGAGGATGATGTATCCTAAGTGAAACAACAAAAGTCACAAAGGTACTTTCAAAGCCCATAAGGAATAGAGTGCTTTGCTTTCGTGATGCAAATACGAAGTCTACATTAGGCTAGAAGGACGGATCATGTTATGGCAGGGTGAACAATCATATACGAAGATGGGGTAATGTGATGCGACTATTGAGGGGTTGAAACAACTCGGTAAGAAGGTTAAAGAAAAGGCCATTCACTCTTTTCTCTGCCTTCATTTAATGTCTTTTCCAGTTGTTTCATTCAAAATTTATCCTACTTTTCCTACCACACCTACTTCGAAACTCATTTATACATGTGATTTGTTTACACGGGAGAAGTATCTACAATGTTTGTAGGAATACATGAAAATGAGACAATATAAACATAATTTATTTTTGTGAATGTAATGCATATAGATGCATTAATTTAAATGATATTTGTTGTTTTAATATTTCATACATGT